TACTTTTAGCTTAGCGCTCATCAACCAATAGCGGCGTGGCGACCAACATCTTGATAGAATTAGGTGGAATTAGCGAATAACTAAAATTAGCGACAATGTATAATTAGCGTGCAGTTGTTCTTCTGTGTTGGCTGGTTTTTAGTAACAGTGGTTTTAATGTCAGATATTGATATTTCAGAAATAGCTGAAACTGTTTGTATTTGTGGAATAAATTTGAAGGAAATAGTGTCAAAAATTATTTTGAGAATGAGCAATATTTTGTTAAATAACTACACGAAAGTAAAGAAAGACAAAAATAATAGCCACTGTAACCAAAGAAAAATGTCAATCCTTTCTTGAATAAAATAATATTTTAGTTATTGCTTTTGTTAATTTTTACTTTGTATAGTAAACGTAATCATTCTAACAATTGATAAAACAATAGCTTACATAGAAGCTGTAACAAAATAACATTATAAATAGGATTTAAATTTTATGTATTTAACAAATAATAAATAATAGAGTAAATACGTAGAAGAGACGGAAGAAAACTACAATTATAGGCATAATACTTACATGTTCAATGTACCGTAAAAGGTTTTAATAAATATTGTTTTATATTCTTGTATTGGCACAAAAGCCTCTTATAATTCTTTCCTTCTTTTCCTACACATCAGTATTGTCAGATATAAAACATCTAAATTAATGGATAATTTGTGTGCTTGTTACAATCCTCCGCGGCGCGAGCACGAGCGTTCAGTGGTGTAGCGTAGCAGTAGCCATCCAGCCATCCGATGCGGTGTTGCCACTTCGAACGCCGCGGCCTGTAGTTAAAGGAGGCCGTGATAAACTGCAGTCTCCACAACATCAGTAGTCGTCTCCCGCAACCGCGGCAACACCTGTGAATGTAACTTGCAGTCTCTGCGACATCGGGAAAGGACTCTCACGACCGCGACAACACCCGTGAGCATAGTCTGCAGTCACCGCAACATCGGTAATCGTCTCCAGGGACATCGGTAATCCTCTCCCGTGTCCAGGGCAACAGCTGTGAGCGTAACTTGCAGTCTCTGCAACATCAGTAATCGACTCTCACGACTGCGGCAACAGCCGTGAGCATAACCTGCAGTCACTGCGACATCGGTAATTGTCTCCTGCGTCCCCTGCAACAGCCGTGAGCGCAACTTGCAGTCTCTGCAACTTCAGTAATGGTTTCCTGCGACCACAGCAACACCCGTTATCGGCAGTGGTAATAGTCTGCAACGATTACAGCAACATCTTCAATCGGCCTTTCGGTTAACCGATCGCGCTCGGGGTTATCGTCCTAGATAGGAAACAAGTAGATGTTCCAACACTAGATATTCCGAGGTCGGATATGAGGGGTTCTACTGTATATCAACAGAAAAAGTTGTACTATTTATGTTTAAAGTAATTTCACTAAGTAAGGTGTGTTTGCCACAGCACAGTGCAAAGGTACGGAAGGCACCTATAACAAAAATGTCCTTTATATAAAATTATTTTTGAAGGAAAAAAAGCAACTTGAATTTAGAATTTGGTAGAAAGGAAGGCTATTTACAACTAACTCACCAAAAGAATGAGTCCCAGGAGGTTAAAATAACACACCTCGTTGCTGTACCTGTTGCTTGAAATCGAGCAATTGCTAAGTATTACAGGAGTTAATAGTTATTTCAACAATTTCAAATAACCCTCACAATAAGTTTAGTTTTGTTTAAGGAAAGGCTCTAGGCCAGGATTTTAAATTGTAGAAAAAGGAGGATAGCAGCTAGCATACCTTGAAAGTGTGGGTAGGCCATAGAACAAGTAGAAAAACACTGTGTACACAATATTTCGTCCCCTAAGGGACTTTGTCAAGTGTAGAGAAAAAGTACAGTGTTTTTCTACTTGTTCTATGGCCTACCCACGCTTTCAAGGTAAGCTAGCTGCTATCGTCCTTTTTCTACAATTTAAAATCCTCACAATAAGTTTGTTTGATAATTAATTAGATTTACCTTAATTAGTTATATTAAGTATAAATTTGAATGGATTTAAATGGATCAGTGAGGATTTTGATTTACCTTAGGTATCAGAGTCCGTTCCTTATTCCTGCACGACCAGTCAAAACCTCACGGTCTCTAATGCTGTTAAGCAAACATTTCACAGGGACTTACGTTTCATCTATATATTAATTTGAAACTGTTTTTCTTTGTCACAGCTATTTTGAGAGAACGGCTGGGTGTAGAAACTCGGTAGAGGTGTCTAAAGAAAGGTCTTGGTCTGTAGATGAGCCGTCAAAAGAGAAACATGGTGAATTCCCTTGGGGCTCTGCCCCAGTGGCCTTTGAATTCCCATCCCATGTTATTCTTATGGAGGAAAACGGGGGTTTTGTCACAGCTAATTTGAGAGAACGGCTGGGCGTAGAAACTTGGTAGGGATCTCTAAAGAAAGGTCTTGGTCTGTAGATGAGCCATCAAAAGAGGAACGAGGTCAATTCCCTTGGGGCTCTGCCCCAGAAGCCTTTAAAGTTGCCTCCAGATTTGTTTACATTACGACCATATGCATAATTCTACACTACTTTTTAATGAAACAGCTGTTAATATTCAAATTGTGATTGATTGAATTTGTCAAAATGAAGTACAGTATTTGCAATGGGTTTTTCTGATTTTAAAATGGATTTTCTTCTGCATCGTGTCATGTTTTGCAATATAATGTTCTATTACCAAATCAGTGGAAAATCCTACTATCACAGTAACTATTTTCTTTTGGAGTTAACTTATATCTATTGTATGGGTTGGTATCTGCCTTTTTTACCACTTCTTGGAGATTGTACGTAGGTGATATTCGTTGGCATATTGCATCTGTAGACGAAACTTGGGTTGGTGTATAGAATGGAAAGGAGTGAGAAATCTTGGACAATTTGATATAGGCTAAAAATAAAACTGAATTAACACTGTTCTACATTTCTTGAGCAATCATTGAAATAACCGATTTGCAAACAATGGAAACATAGAAAAAGTCATAGAACACAACCAAGTAGAAGAAATAGAAATAATGTTTTTTTTTCATTTATAATCGTTATCATAGACAACCTAATGCGACTATGAGAGGGAAAAATTTGTTGAAAATACTAAAAAAACAAGATCAGCTTTTTGAAAAAAGATAATATATTTAAAAAAGATTTTGATTATATCTAACTGTTGTGTAGATTGTGAGTATTTCCATAATCTTTGAGTCGCCTGTAAATGCAATTGCTCGAATTCGAGCAACAGGTACACTAGTTAATAGCTCAATTTGAAAATATGTTTAAATTTCTTATCAACTCTCTTCTGACTTTTTTTGTAATAGCCGATGTGGTGGCAGTTCACTTAGATAACAGATGTTGTAAAATAACGGTACACACTATTTACTGTAATATTCTGTTGGTTTTCAGTTCATTTCCTTTTCTTGTCTGATATTACACCTAAACTTAAATCTACTTTCTCAAGTCTTGGGATCATAGATACTTCAGTACGTATTGTTCAATGTTTATCAATATACTTCCTGCACTGTTAGAATGACTCTATCACCATTCAGACCATGAATTATTTAGTTTATGTGGTTCGGATTCCACTATAAACTGTAGGTCCCTTAGTTGACATTAGCTGTATGGGCTATTAATTAACAGCTGATATTGTGTCTATAGTAGGGTTCAGTAGACAATGATTGTCTAATATCACCAAACCCCAATACAGGAATCCCACCAAACATTGATCTCTCAATCTCTTGGGGTCTATTAAAGTTAAACAAACCTGTAAATGATAAACATTTAAATTCCTGTGAAGTAGTTAATAATTAGTAATCTTTAGGTCATTTGCCTCATCATTGTTTACTGATACACCAGATACTAAAGACTCATACACTGGGATGGGCTTACTTTATACACTCTGTTCACAACTAAACACATGAAAGTAAACTATCCATTTATAAATCCCAAAGTACCTATGAACTTTTGAGAAAACTACAAGTCACACCCCCATAAACCATATACTTAAAATGTTCGTCATGACGAGAAACCTTGCGCAAAACTCATAAATTGCCTTTTAAGGTTGTAGTTTCTTTCTAAAGGGAACTTTCCATGTACCTAATGTTAAAAATACCTCAGCTGTACTTATTTGTATGTTATTCTTTTAAAGTTGTAGAAGAATCTGATGTATCTATCTGATGTAGAAGACCATAAAATCTCCAAGTTAAGCATTATCTCTTCTATTGAGATGTCGGCCATCCCTTCCTAGATGACTTTTATTAATTATAAAATCTGCCTCTGCGAAATGAGCTCGGAAATTGTTCACATTAGATCAAGTTGATCATTGAAGTGTTCTAAAGCTCTACGATTGATATCTCTTCGACAGATGACACTGTTGGCATTGATCTTGGAATCAGGAAACTTCCGCTGTACTTCTAGCTGTAGACAGCAGGCTAGCCATGCTATGCAATGCCGCACGTTTTCCCCACCCCCCATTATAGCCAGGACGCCCATTATACCCATTCACAAGATCATTTGTACTCACAAGCAAATAGACAACATTTGGCTTAGCATTTGCATACAATTCATGTCTGCTTTGAATTGTTTTAATGGTTGACCCAGGATTGACATCTAGTACTGTCCCGTTCTGTTTACACTTTTTCCCAGAGTGTCTAAGCATTGAATTCCCAACTAACAACACTCCTCCCATAGGAGAAACTGAGGATGGTCCAAGCATACCACTCTCCTCAAAAGTTTTTTTACAATATTGTACGAGTACAACATTGGTTGATTCAGAAAGCTTTTCAATTTCATCAGCTAATAAACCAAAACTATTTTTACATTCTAAACCATCCTGCATTACGCTATCAACTATTTTAGCCATATCAAATCAAATCAAAATAGACAATTTTGTACCCTTATTCTTCCCAGTTTTGTTTTTACTCATATTTTTTTCCATTTTATTTGAGTTAGTAGTATAGATGTGCGTGCTTTGCTTACAAATCTTTGTTCAATCCAATTTCAGGCAACTTTGTGGCTGTGTGAAGACTATCCGTTGAGTCTTCAGGAGCAGATCATGCCTATTGTTGACCTAATGGCTATCTCCAGTTCTCACTTTGCAAAACTGAAGAACTTCATTCAAATGCAACTACCTTCAGGGTTCCCCATCAAAATTGGTAAATGGTTTTTTTGAAGATTTGTCAGGATTATAATTGTTTATTCTTGTTCATCAAGTATTAGAATAGAATATAATAGAATAAAATCTTTTATTGTCATCAAACATATACGTGGAAATATTAGTATGGTATCATACACGAATACCTACTATAATAAAACCCAGTATGGATCACAAAAATAAACAAATGATGTTGTTGGCCCAAATCCTATACTAATAGCATTAACATATGTTTTGGCAGTTCCATTGAAGCAATGTTAAATAATGTTTATTTTCGGGCCAAAAATATCATTTGTTTATGTTTATTATCCATACCGGTTCTTTTCAAGTATTCGTGGTACACAGTACACAGTACACAGTAGGTTATGAAGTACACATATAACCTATATTGTGTTTTACATGTTATAACATCAACTTAACAGTTACACTGAAACATCAGTCTCACAGGCACCCAGGGAATTTTTTATTTCTATTGAGGCAGCCCTGGTGTGTTGGCAGTGCAGACCTTCACAATAGCTTACTTTCTCCCACATTTTGTGACTAAATAAAATCAGTAAAATTTGCTTGTCGAATTAGTGTAATGGATCCTGACTTCAGCAACACAATTTGAGAACTTTTGAACAATGAAAACAGTTATGTCAGTAAAACGTTATGAGATCTTGGCTTCTTGCCTACGAATTTATGATGCAAACACAAGGTGCAAAAAAAAAAAAAAAAAACAACTTATGAAGCTGCTCCAATTTTTGAGATCTTTGCCAAATTCATATCAAACAGTCAAAGTATTTATTGCGAGTCTTCCGAAGTTACAGTAGATGAGATGTAGATACCCTTCAGAGGCAGATGTAGTTTCTATGTAGGTTTATATGCCTAAAAACCCTAAGAAATACAAGATCAATGTCATGTGTGTTGCCGATGCTAAGACATTGTATTTTATACATATATATATATACACTGTTAAAGGCAGTGACATTGTATCTTTATCAGCTGAAGGGAAAAACTTAAGCATTCCCACTCAAGCTGGGGTTAGAGTTAGCAGGCCTTTTGAAGGGTCTAACCAAAATATCACAGCCGACAACTGGTTCTTGTCTCTAGAAGTAGTCGACACACTTTCAAAGAGAAAGCTAATGTACATGGGTACAGTAAGGAAAGACTAAAAATTGATCACCGTTGAATTTCTACCTCACTCAGAAAGATCAGGTGCCTCAAGCCTAGAAACATATACTCTTATTAGTCTTTGTTTGACGGTTACTCTTCACTAAGTAATACACAATAACTAAAAAAGGTATATTTCTGATTTTTATCAAAACAAATCGATCGACTCTTCTTATAGCTTTGTGCCCAAACAAAATATATCATTTGTCTTGATTTCTTCAATGCATCAGAGTGTACAAACAAACACCGAGAAAAAGAGGCCCGAGATCATATGTTATTATAGAAAAACAAAATGTGGTATTGGTTTACTAGACATGCAGTGCACAGTTTTTACATGCAGCAGGAAAACTAGGCGGTGGCCAGTTGCTGTATTTTACCGACTGATCAACATCGGTTGTGTAAATTTTAGTAAAAACATAGTCTATTTGAGTTTTGCAGGAACACCGGTAATGAAAAGGTTTGAGTTCGTAAAACAGCTAGGTCATAAGCTGGTTTTCCCCATCTTCGAGGAAAGACTGGCAGAAACTGTGAATCTTCCAAGAGGTTTGAATTCTAGCATAGAGAACGTTTTGTCAGAAAACAAAACTAAACAGTAAGGAAATCAGCAGAGACAGTAGCAATGGGAAGTAGATGAGAAACAGCCGGACGATCCACAAGAAAAAGGACCAGCCCAAGCAAGTGTCCCAAGTGACGAGATGGAAAAGATGTTCTTCATGCCCTTCCTACAAGAAATAGAAGACAAGCTACATGTGCATTGCTTGTAAAAAAGCAATATGCTTGGACCTGTACGTAAACTGTGTGTTGACTGTGCCAAAGAAAAAAAGTGGTTGAGGTGTACCCACCTCTCATAACAAATTATTAAACTTTTTTCTGTATTAGGTGTTTTTATATTTTTCAACATATTATATTAGTAACAACAAATTTTACATTATTTCAAACGTAGTTTTAAAATCTTATGTTTTATTCAACTTTTATTTTGATAAAGTCAAAAGTTGTTTGGCCTACATATACAGGGTGTTTCAGAATTCGTGTCGGATATTTTAGGGTATTGTTCCTGGGTAAGAAACAAATCCAAATATCATATTTAAATTGACCGGAAGTCTTTAGTTACTCATTCAGCCGCCATTTTGTTTTTTTCGCTTATTAATTGTTTTCAAAAAGGTGGTAAGAGATACAAAACTGAAACTTTGCGAAAACATTTATGACAACTAGGCAAAGCTGCAAAAAAATTATGAACATTTTTAAAATTCATAAAAAAAATGGCGGCCATTTAAAATTTTGTTTCTTAAATAACTCAAAAACGGTTGAGTTTACAAAAATATTACAAGAATAGCTTTTTTAAGACAATTTTATTACAAATCGATTGACACCTTAATCTTCAAGATTGGATGAATAAGATTGGATGAATGAGATATGGCAGCTTTAGTAATACGTGACCGCTGGAGGTTAGATGTAGTGCATGCCGAGGCATGCGGTCTAAGTCTGCCACAACAATGCAACAGTCTCCGTCCGCTTTGCAAATTATTTTTGAACGATTTTAGACTATTTCAAACAATAATTAAATGTTACATAATCCCATAAGTGTCTTTTTTATCAATTATCAATCATTAGGATGGCTTAAAAATTGCTCACCTTTTAACAGTCTTTTAAATTCACACTAAACACTCAAACCTTTTATATCAGCTGTGGTGAAAGTCAACGTACTTGTTTAAAAACTAATCAGCTGATTTTATTTTGTCTGAAGATGTTATTGTTTATTCAATGTAGTCAGTTTCTCTAACTTTTGACACTCACTTTTAAAGTGTACTCTCACTGTATCATCTTTAAATGTGATTGTAAAAAGTTAGAAGTTACTCAACAGCTGATATAAAAGGTTTGAGTGTTTAGTGTGAATTTTAAAGACTATAAAAAGGTGTGCAATTTTTAAGCCATCCTAATGATTGATAATTGATAAAAAAAAAGACACTTTTGGGATTATGTAACATTTAATTATTGTTTGAAATAGTCTAAAATCGTTTAAAAATAACTTGCAAAGCGGACGGAGACTGTTGCATTGTTGTGGCAGACTTAGACCGCATGCCTCGGCATGCACTACATCTAACCTCCAGCGGTCAAGTATTACTAAAGCTGCCATATCTTAGTTAATATTCATCCAATCTTGAAGATTAAGGTGTCAATCGATTTGTAATAAAATTGTCTTAAAAAAGTTATTCTTGTAATATTTTTGTAAACTCAATCGTTTTTGAGTTATTTAAGAAACAAAATTTTAAATGGCCGCCATTTTGTTTTATGAATTTTAAAAATGTTCATATTTTTTTTGCAGCTTTGTCTAGTTGTCATAAATGTTTTTGCAAAGTTTCAACTTTGTATCTCTTACCTTTTTTTTGAAAACAATTAATAAGCGAAAAAAAAACAAAACGGCGGCTGTGTGAGTAACTAAGGACTTCCGGTCAATTTAAATATGATATTTGGATTTGTTTCTTACCCAGGAACAATACCCTAAAATATCCGACACGAATTCTGAAACACCCTGTATATGATTATGATTCAATAAGCAAATCCAAATATAGATATTTGTTATATTCATTTTTATACTCAATTATCTCAGTTTAATAATTTTGATTACTTTTAGTCTTTATTCTTATTTGTAGCCTTCATATTTTTATAAATATCACGTATTGTATATTTTTACTTTGATGGTATTGACGTTTACTAAATTTAATCCAGATTTTTGGGCTATGTTGTAGTTTTTATATTTACTTAAAATTTTATAATATCTTAATTCATTAATTTACTACTGGACCGATTTTATTAATTAATGGGTCGTTGGAAAGCTTAATTCGTGTAGATTTGCAATTAATTATGACAGTTGGTTTTATTTATGATTTATAATTAAAAATAAAAACATGTTTTCCATAAGAAATACATTGAAAACGGTGTTTTTCACACTTTTTATTTGGGCTGCCTTTTCAGTATTTTCAAGAAGTGCATGGTATAATCATAATCATAATCATGTTTATTGGCACATAACGTACAGAGTTTACAGGTAAATGTACAGGTGCTTCGTCATCTTCTTATAACATTTAAAAATAGTCCTTTCTTAAAACTAAATAACAGACTTAAACGTATATTTAGTATTAATAATTAAAAAAATTTTAACATCTAAAAACATTGCATAGTCTGTCTGAAAATTTATAAAGATATTGTCAAGCTTAAAACTAAATAACAGGACTTAAATAATTTAATAATAAAACATATCTGTAAAACATCAAAAATGTACAAAAAGTTTATGGTAGTCAATAAAATATTTGTAAAATTGCATAACAAAAAAAAAATATATATAGCCTATATATCTATCTTTGTAGGCTAACATTGAAAAATCAATTTTACCTATCATCAAATGTTATGGCGAGGAACAGGACCAGCTGTTGAGAATCATATGTTGAGAATCATATAAAAAATCACTAACTTTATAATAGGCCTTTCTAATCAAAATGCTCTTAACATTATCTGCAAATTGTGTTGGAGTCATTGCTAGACTTTTCAAGGTATTTGGGAGTTTATTGTACAATTTAATTCCCATGTAGTGAATGCTCTTTTCTAAAGATGTCGTAGAGTGATGAGGGTATATAAGTAAATCCCGGTTTCTAGTGTTGTAATTGTGGCAATTTTTTTCAATAGAGTACCAATTTAAATTATTTTTAACATGGCACAGAACCTCAAAGATGTATATACATGGTACTGTAAGTATCTTTAAACCTCTAAATATCTCTTTACATGAGCTTCCATGCTGTTTGAGGGTCATGGCTCTTAGGAATTTCTTTTGTACTTTTAAGACGTTTTTTATTA